TTTAGTGCCTCAAGAAACTTTAGTATGAAAGCCTGCCTCCTTCATATTATATAGTTACATCCTTCATATTATATAGTTAAAATGCCATATTTGGGCTGGGGTTGTGGCTCAGTGGCAGAGTGCTTGCCTCGCACTTGTGAGGCACTGGGTTTGCTCCTCAGCACCACATAAAAATAAATAAACAAAATAAAGACATTGCATTCATCTATAACTAAAAAAATAATTAAAAATAAAATAAAATGCCATATTTTATGTAATATAGTCTTGATTTGATTCTGGTTTCACTGTAGTAGGATTTACAATTATATAAAAAATAAATTTCTTACATTTAAATTAAATTGCAAAAAGGCAGGAGAGATGTGAAATGCATATCATCCATCTTCCTGGTGAAAATCCAAGTAAGTACTCCATCTTAAAAAATATAGAATAGGGGCTGGGGATGTGGCTCAAGCGGTAGCGCGCTCGCCTAGCATGCGTGTGGCCCGGGTTCGATCCTCAGCAGCACCACATACCAACAAAGATGTTGTGTCCGCCAAGAACTAAGAAAAAAATAAATAAATGTTAAAATTCTCTCTCTCTCTCTCTCTCTGTCCCCCTCTGTCTCTCACTCTCTCTTAAAAAAAAATAAATAAAGAAAGAAAAAAAATATAGAATAGTAAAATGACTATTTAATTCTTGGGGGAAAAATAGTAGTAGCAGCCTTTTATTTAAAATACTTAAACCCATAAAAGCAAATGCTTTAAGATTTTTGTTTGCATTAATCTAGAAACAAACTTCTTTTGACTGGTAAGTCTCAGTAGTACCATTTTACTTCTATAGTATACACTATATTTTTCTGGGCCTCTCGGGCATTCATGAATCTATGAAATACTACATCATGCTGAGATATAGGATTGTTAAGCACAAGTTGTCTTAAAAATCAACCATTGACAAATACAGTGATTTCTTGCCAACTGAAGCGGAAAAATGCCAATTATTTTTATAGTATTGACTTTTCAAAAGCTTTGGAAGAGAACATAACTGAATGAAAACATGTCTTTGACTTCCAGGACTATATTTTTTAGACCTAATCTTAAAAATAAAAACATAGTATTGTTTTGTTTTTGTGGTGCTGGGGATTGGACCCAGGGCTTCACAAATGTTAGGCATGTACTCTACTACATCCCTACATTTTTTTGTTCAGTGGAAAACAAGGCAAAGCCTTGACTTTGGTACCTAAACTGTTAATGTCTATTAAGAAAGGAAACACTTTTACTTCTGAGTGACAGGCAATAACATTTTTTCTGTGCCTAGGAAGGGAGCAAAGAGGTAGAGCAGCAGTAGAATTAACTGGGAAGCCCTTTCCTCAGTAAGCCATGGTGTATCCGTGTTTAAATGGATGGATTTAATTTGTGTGGCTTCTATTGTGTGATTTTGAGAGTGGAATGGATATTACATTGTTAAAAAGTGAACAAAGGGTACTGCTGAAGTACTCAAAGTTCACACTAGGGTACTATGCTATTGTTTTTATTTTGTAGTCTTTCTTTGTTTTCTCAACATTATTTCCAGAGAACAAAGTAAATGTCTGCTGGCTTGATGTATAAACTATGAAAAGGGTTATGTGGTGATTTTTACCATTCCTGGAGGACAAATGTAGGTCACCCTTTATTGCATAGTTCATTTGACATTTTTTTAAAAAAATGCTTTTTGGGGAGAGGGGTACCTGGGATTGAACTCAGGGGCACTCGATCACTGAGCTACATCCCTAGCCCTATTTTATATTTTATTTAGAGACAGGGTCTCACTGAGTTGCTTAGAGCCTCGCCCTTGCTGAGACTGGCTTTGAACCCTTGATCATCCTGCCTCAGTTTCCTGAGCTGCTGGGATTACAGGTGTGAACCACCACGCCTAGCAAAAATTGCCTTTTTATTCTTGATGATTATAGCATCTTTATTCAGCTTTCACTTTTTAGAAGTCAGCCATTGTCTTCTTTTTCCCTCCTCTTCTCAGTTTGTAATCATGTGAATTTGTAAAATGATTGGAATCAAGATAGACTTGCTACATGAATATTGGTTATATAAATAGAGAGATTTGAAGTTTGCTTGATTTAATAACATTGTTCTAATTGTGGGGGCATTCATACCTCTTTCACATTGGTGTGTGTTATCAGACGGCATTTTTAATTCTTTTTAATTTTTTTTTAGTTGTAGGAGGACACAATACCTTTATTTTACTTATTTATATATGGTGCTAAGGATCAAACCCAGCACCTCACACATGCGAGGCGAGCACTCTACCACTGAGCCACAACTCCAGCCCCAGAGAGCAACTTTAAAATATTTTTTCTAGTTGTCAATGAACTTTTATTTTATTTATTTATATGTGGTGCTTAGAGTTGAATCCAGTGCCTCACACATGCTAGACAAGTGCTGTACTACTGAACTACAACCCCAGCCCTCAGGTAACATCTTTGATCCCCAAATTTGATTTAGATTTTGGACTATGAACTTATGCTACCTAATTTTGGATAATAGTCTAGATGTTTCTTAATCTCTACAGAGTTTAATGTTGGTTTTTGTCTGTATTTTTCATATATATGGAGGGCTGCCATGTATAGTTGTGTAGACTCTGTTACACAAATTGTGTTACAGAGTCTACATAACTATACATGGAGAGCCATTTGTATAAACTATGGTGATCATGATTTCCCCCTAGAAGTAGGCAGTGAGGCCGACTACCATTACTACCTTCACTCTCTGTGGTAGTGGTTGATTTAATTAGCATTATTGTTTAAATTGCATTTTGACTCAACTGAGTATATTTAAAATTTAAGGTAACTTCCAAGAGAATTCCTATTAAGCTTCTGTGTCATGGAATTATGCATCTGCCTGGGTTTATTTGAACATATAGAAAGGGGACATATAGAGTGATTAGTATTCAAAATATGAAAAATATACAATTTAAGATTTAAAGAAACCATCAGTTTGGAAATCGCTGATTATTTTTTGATGTTTGATCTCAGATTCTTATAATTTTTTTTTTTAGTTCACCAGATTCTTATAATTTAATCCTATTCTGACATTAACTACTCAGCATCAAACTATACAGGCTTAAGGTCTCAGTTCCCCAGGATTGCTCTCAATTCAGATACCAGTTACAAATCCAGGGTCCTCAGGCCACCTATAATTCTGACTGGTTTCAAATTCAGAGGACAGTGGGGATGACCTTCAACTGAGATAAAGAAATGCATAGCACTTGTCCTGTGATCCTGAGACTAAGACAGGAGGATTACAAATTCAAGGTAGTTCAAGGTCAGCCTCTACAATTTAGCAAGACCCTGACATAAGAAAAAAAAATAAAAAGGGCTGAGGATGTAGCTCAGTTGTTGAGTACCTCTGAGTTCAATCCCCAGTAACACACACACACACATGCTCGAAGGGCATGAAGCATCCCTGCCCTCTCCAGCATGCCACTCTCACTTCACTTTGCTATTCTTAACCTGGGAGCTCTCTGAACCCTGTTGTTTAGGAATATAAAGATTTTGTTACATAGGCATGATTGATTAACACATTGGCCATTGGTGACTGAATCAGTCTCTAGCCTCTTTCCACTCACCAGAGGTTAAGGGATGCACCTTAAAATTTCATCTTTCTTATCAAAATTTGGTGTTTCTGATGATCTTCCCACATCCTAGCATAAACTCAGGTATGGTTGATTGGCATTTATTATACATTATGAAAGGCCCTCATCTTCCAGGAAAAGCCAAGTATTTTAGGAGTTTTGTTCTAGGAACCAGGCACAAAGACTTGATTGATTGATTGATTAACATATAGTATATAATTATATATTTATTACATATTTAAATATTTTATTTTATTTATTTATTGTGGTACCTGGAATGGAACCCAGGAAGTGCTTACCCACTGAGTCACATCCCCTGCCCTTTTGTATATTTTATTTTGAGATAAAGTCTCACTAAGTTACTGAGGCTTTGAACTTGTGATCCTCCTACCTTAGCCTCCCAAAGTGCTGGGATTCTAGGTGTGAGCCACCATGCCTGGCTAAATATTTTAATATATTTGCTTAAATATATTAATATGTGAAATATTAATATATAAATATATCAAATATATTTTATTATATGACACTTAAACACTATTGAAGTTTATAATTTTTTAAAATTCTTTGAGATCACCTTCTTTATTAATTGATATAATGATATTTTTAAAAACCCAGAGAATAGCTGGGCACGATGCACATGCCTGCGATCCCAGCAGCTCTGGAGGCTAAGGCAGGAGGATTGCAAGTTCAAAACCATCCTCAACAAGTTAATAAGACCCTGTCTCTAAATAAAATACAAAAAAGGGCTGGGAATGTGGCTCAGTGGTTAAATACCCTTGGGTTCAATCCCTAATACAAAAAAAAAAAGTTTAATGATAGAATATTGACTAATGAAATGATACTGTGTGGCCATTATGATTGTTTTTAATTGTTTTGTATATATATAGAAATAGAAGTGAGTTTCTATTAACTGTTTTGAACTCAACTAGCAGGTTGATAGTAAAATCTACCATCAGGCCACAAGAATTCTAGAACACTGCCAACACAGTGTAGGCAGACTACAATTTATGAATGAGCTGTGTTCCAAAGCTGGCTGTTTAAAATTCTGAACACGCTTCTCAAAGAAACCATGTTGTAAACACTCTAGGTCTAAGTCAGCCTACAATAGCCTTAATTTTACTCAGAGAATTCTTGGACTATATGTAGTGTCCACACTTTTATTTATAACATTTTTTATGAATAGACAGCATGTTGAGTTCCAACTGGTGCCCTTCAATCAGAAAAGGCTTACAAATCTTTCCTTCTTTTTTACTCTTCTATGTCATAGGATTGCTGATAACATCAGTGAATGTGGCTTACCCCAACTAGTGTCCTTTGGGGTTTAAAAGTGTTTTTGCCTGTCAGGATAAGATGCTTCTTTTGATCAACCACCTTTTAGCTAACATTCCTTACTGTTGTAGGTTGAATTCTCTTACCCGCCCCTGATTCCAGGAGATGGACATGACAGCCACACTTTGCCTGAAGAATGGAAATATTTGCCCTTCCTTGCCTTACCAGATGGCGCACACAATTACCAGGAAGGTATGTGAGAAGACAGTGGAGAAATTAGTAGGTCCTATTTTTACTTATTTTTTTAGTAGGTGCTAGTTTTTTTAAAAAAAAATGCTGTGGTGAATGAGTCTTTTGACCTGTTGTAGTTATTTATAAAATATTTATATGTTATTTGGAGATGACTAGTCAAGCACTAGAGAAGAGAATGTCCAGAGAGTGCTGAACTTACATGGGCCATGGCCTGTGATCCTTACCAGGAGCCCTGACAAAAGTGATTAGCAAAGCAGGACAGCTGCTACTAGAAAGCATTCCCTATAATTATACTTTATTTTGACTCCTCTCAGAGACAAAAGAAGAAAGTTAGCTGAACACTATTTGAGTCTGTAGCTTCAGACTTACTAGCTTATTACTCCAGTGCCTGCCCACCTGCGAACACCTGAGATGGTTTCTCCAGCTCTGGAGCTGTCACGAGTCTTTGCTTGCTCACATGCAGAGCATGTTCACACCTTCAAAGAAAGTAGTAGTTTGAAGTTCTTACTGAGTCTCCTACACCATATTTTACTATGGTGTTAAAGATGCAGGAAAATACCAGATTAAACTTGATTACCTGTTTTCTTAATATAGTATTTAATAATTTCCTTACAGAATGAATCAGTTGTTACTTACAGTTAAGCATAGGATGTAAACATAGGATTTTAACTTCAGAGATCCTTTTTCTACATAACTTTATATTATTAAAGTTTCAAACACAGAAAAGTTAAGATTACAGTGAATATTCTGCAAATTTTTTTGTATTTGTGTGTGTGAACAGTTTTTTCCTGTACTATTTTAAAATCAGCTGGAAACAATGACAGACACTTCACCTTTAATACTTAAGTAGGCATCTCCAGAGAATAAGATCATCCCCTAGCATAACTTCTAATACCATTTATCACAGCTAAGAGATTTAACAGTAATACTATGTAACATCCAGTCTGTGTTCCAGTTTCCCTAGCTGTTCCCCAAATTTCTTAGTTGATTCAAGATTCAATGTTTCCCATTGGTTTTTATGACTCTACTTTGTTTTAGTCTGGACCAGTTCTCTTTATATAAAGTACATTCTGTGTACATTCTGTAACTGTACTGTTTGACCTGTTCTAATTCAGCCTCTTGCGTTTTTTGTGATGAGCATATACTATAAGGCATTGAGATAAATTTCAAGAAACCAGTGATTGTGATGCTGAAAATCAGTATGACATGGTTCCTTCATACATCTTCATTTGCATGTTAATAACTACATTATGATAACTTCAAATTTTTATACTTATTCATAAGGGTGATTTGCCTTGTTATTTACATTTTTTCCATGTATCTCTTAGATACTGTGTTTTTTCACTTACCACCCAGAAATGGAAATGGAGCCACCGTTTATGGTATTTCTTGCTATCGACAAATTGAAGCCAAGGTATGATAGTTAATGGTGAGCAACAATAGGAAAAAAAAAACTCCCAACTCCTTTCTTAAGTGTTATTAGTGAAGGAAACACATCTTTATTTTTCATGTGGTGCCTATGATGTCATTTTAGATTTTCACTGATTTTTTGGTTTTATTTTTGTTTTGTGCTATTAGTGATTGAACCTAGGGCTACCATAGGCTAGGCAAGCACTCTACTACTGAACTACACCCCCAGCCCTTTTTAAAGCAAGGTCTTGCTCAGGTGCCCAAGTGCCTTTGAACTTGTGATCATCCTGCCTCAGTCTCCCATGTAGCTGGGATTACAGGCATGTGCCATCACACCCACGTTCATTTTAGATTTTTTTTAAAAATATTTTTTAGTTTTAGATGGACACAATATCTTTATTTCTTTTATGTTGTGCTGAGAATCAAACCCAATGCCTCAGTCATGCTAGGTGAGCGCTCTACCACAGAGTCACAACCCCAGCCCCCATTTTAGATTTTTATAAGCAAATTATAACTATTCTATCATTACCAACTTAGTCACATTAATATGTTTATAAATTGACATTGGTGCCTAAGATTATATAATTGTACATTTTGTACATTGTTTTTATTTTTTATTTAATTTTTTAATTTTTTTTTTTTTCGTTTTTGGCGGACACAACATCTTTGTATGTGGTGCTGAGGATGGAACCCGGGTCGCACGCATGCCAGGCGAGCGCACTACCGCTTGAGCCATATCCCCAGCCCTGTACATTGTTTTTAGATAGCAATATCCAAATGATTCATTTGTCTTTGAAATGCTGTGAAGGTTCCACCAGCTCCCAGTTGCACCACAGGCTGGTGACTAAGTCTTTAACACCTGGGCCTTTGGGGAATATTTATCCAAATTATAGCAGTATTGTTAGCCAATTTAAATTTAATAATTTATTTGAAAGAAAAAAAAGAACAAAAAAAATTCACAAATTGGGCAGCTCCTAGAACCAGAACAGGTTTGGAGAATAATAACCAACAGCATATGTAGACAGCATTTTTAGAAAAATTGAAGGAGGCATAGAAACCAGTAAAGCTGATTATATTCTAAATTACTCATTGGCTAGAGTCTTCTGCAATCAACCAAATTTAACTGAGATTAAACTCTATTGGTTTGGTCTGTTGACTCTAGTATAAGAGCACAGTCCAAATTAGTGGCCTCTTACAGTTTTATTTAACAGTATATAACTTAGAAAAATGGACCATAATGTGCTTTTCAAACAGCATTTTAGTAGGGCAATGTACTTAACAATGGTTTCCAAGTGCACACAGTTAATCTATAACTAAGATTTTGATTACTCTTAAACTACCTGCCAACTTACTCCCTAATTTACACTAATATCCCTAATTAATCAATTCAAATAAACTAAAATGGGTATCCCCACACTTTTATGGCGCTTGTAGGATGCACTATTTTTTGAGGTGGGAATAAATCTTTATGAATAAAAATCTCTCTCTTCTCATTCATGCTCTAAAGTAGTGTGTAGTTCTTAGCCTTGGCTACAAATTCGAATCACTGAGAACTTTAAAGTCAGAGTTGGCTGAGTCCAACCCCAGAGATTTCAAGCTAATGTTCTGGGCATCAGGAGTTTTAAAGATGCCCCAGGTAGTTCTAATGTGTAATCAAGTGTCAAAACCACTGCACTGAAACAGTGGTTTCTAACAGAATTACCTGGAGGGTTTTTTGTGGGTTTTTTTTTTTTTTTTTTTTAGGGAGAGGTTGGTTGGTTGTTTTTAAATATTTTTTAGTTGTCAATGGACCTTTATTTTATTTATTTATATGCAGTGCTGAGAATCGAACCCAGTGCCTCACACATTCTAGGCAAGTGCTCTACCACTGAGCCACAATCCCAGCCCATTGTTTGTTTCTTTGACTGAATTAGAATCTCTGGGACTAGAGCCTGGGCAATTATAAAGTTGAAAAGATATCTGAGATGAATAATTAATAGTAAACATTTTTAAATTTTTATAATGAAAATTCCAGACATGCAGATAAATTAAAAGAATGGTGCAGTGAACACATATATACTCACCACATAGACTCAGCAGTTCTTAATGTTCTGCCTCTCCTGATCTGTGTGTGTGTGAATTTGTTTCCTGAACCATTCATAAGTAAACTACAGGTGTAAATTTCAAGATATCTGAAGTAGTTAACTACTATGAAATAACCCTCCAAACCCAGGGTGTGGAATATAGAACACACCCAGATAATGTTTGTAGAATGAATAACTGAATCTAAAGCTAAATATATTACTTCACATTATCAAGTGTACTTTAACCTGAAAATCAGAGTGTCAGGAGGCTCAGACCCTGAGAAGCAGATCCAGGATCCCAGCAGGTGCAAGAAGATGTGAGGCAAGTAGGAATAGTGCATATGGTTTATTCAGAGGTGACAGTAGTCCCCAGCCCCCTGAGTCTTTCCATAGACCTTTTTTATATGTAGACCAAACAAAGCACAGTGCCAACAGGTTACATAAGTGAGTATATGCCCAGAAGCAGATATTTATGACCTTGAGTACATATGCTGAATTATGTTTATGACAGGGACTACATACTGAAAGCATAGCTAGCCAGAAATGTCAGTGAGGAAGCCATGTTGGGCCTGCCTCACAAAAAGTTAGCCCAGTAGCTTTATGTATTTGATTTCTTCATATATTGTTACTCTTAAGCATATGAGATGAATTGAGCTACTGCCCTATTTCAGAAATCCATCCCTTTATTTCCTCTTGTCTTCTGTAGGTCATGTGAATAGTACTAAAATTATTTCTTCCAAGTTCTTCTTACCCCTCATTGTTGTCATTAACTGGAGTTCGAATACCCTGCACGGGTTTTAAATACTACCTCTCTCCCCCAGTCCTTAAGACTGATCCATTTCAGAGTATATCAGAATTGCCCATTTCTCTTTAAGTTTTTCAAGCCGCATCTGAGAAACTGGATAGATAAGCCATATCTCAGAAGGACTTAGAGCCTAGGAGAAAGACTTTAATTCCCTTTGAAGGTAAGACATAATAGATGAATCCATTCAAGGGAAAAGACATCTACTTTTCACCCAATGTAATGATTAAACACCAGTCACTTGAGGTCCTTTGATCCTCTGGACAGATCCAAGGAGAGTGACGCAGCACCCTAGAAGCCAAACAGTCCCTCTTATTTCCCTCACAGCTTTACCTGAAGTTGATCAAATCAAGACTTGTTTCTACCAGCAGAAAACTACACAATTCTTACATGATTATCATTATTGAGAAATGAGTTATGCTTAATGCTGGGCCATAATCAAGTCAGCTAGAGCAGACCCCAGAACAGGCTTCCCAGAACAACTAACTTAACAAAATTGCTGACAGTTCTTCCATCTATGGAGAAATAAGCTATTTTTGTCATCTCTTAAACTAGCCCTATCTCACCAGAAACAATCCTGTGAAAGGGTGGCCTATTTTAAAACCAGAATCAGTAGTGGTTGGATTGCATTGATTGGTTGATTTGGGTGTGGTGAGTTGTACATAATCTCCATCATCTTAACACATTACTTGAGGATAGGAATTAACCCTTCTCTTATATTCCCAGTGCCTGTCATAGCTTCTGATGCAAAGTGACTAAGCTGACATTTATTCATTCAATAAATATTTTCTGAGATTCTCAAATAATTTTTTTTAATTTAAATATAAGAGATTTCTTCTATTTAATAACTATTTTCATATTGAAAGATGTTTTGTAAATATTGCTATGAAATATTTCTGATAATGACTATTTGTTTATAATAGGCATTGAAAGTAAGGCAAGCAGATGTCACCAGAGAAACTGTTCAGAAAAGTGTCTGTGTTCTAAGCAAGCTGGTAAGAGACCAAGTAACTTGTTTATGTGTGTGTTAAACATTCATGGCAAATTTATTTGAGAATAAAGCATTATTAGAAGAGATTTATGAGAACAATAATTTACTAAAATTAGTCAAGAGCTTATTATTTATGCTCTTGCATTTTCTCTTTTTACCTTTCAGCAATTTTACTTTCATTTGCTCCTCTACCCAAGTATAGGTAAAAGGGAGGAAATCTGATAGTTTGTTAGTTTGGAAGCTGGCACTTGATAAAAATGAGGTAGCTGATATGTTTCATTTATCCATTTTTGTTTAGTTCCCAAGATATTGGATAAATAATATTTTACTAAAACTTAAAATATAATTACTAAGATTTTATTGATGATACAGAAGTTCATGGCTATTGTAGTGAAAATTTTTAGACTTAAATTTCTCTTTAAATTTTAAAATCAGAGATAGTGTTGCATGCCTGTAATCCTAGCTACTTGGGAGTCTGAGGCGGTAAGAGGATTGTGAGTTCAAGGTCAACCTCAGCAAATTAGTGAGACCCTATCTTAAAATAAAAAAGACTGGGATGTGACTCAGTGGTAAAGTGCCCCTGGGTTGAATCCTCAGTACAAAAAAAAAAAAAAAAATTATGTTTGAGGAAGGGAAATGACATAATGAAATTGTAACTATAATAATACATGAAAACTATGTTTCTTCTGGGTACAAGTTGATCAAATGGGAGAGTATAATTATTTAACTTTTTATAAAGAAGATGCCTAACATTTCTTGGCTTTCATAACTCTCTTAATTAAATCTTTTACCACCATATCATGTTTATTACTAAAGGAATAATAGCACCTTTCCAGTACAGTCAAATTTCTAGTTCTACATGTTAAACATAGTCCCCAAAATCCCCTTTGTGGGAATAATTCATATCTGCATCATATCAGTTATCTTAGAGCTATATGATTATCATATAGAAATGTAGCCATTTCTACAGTAAACCTAAATCAAAATTGAACTTTTTTCACTAGCCTTGTCACCAAATGTATGTAAGTTTTGTTTAATTATATCTTCTGCAATTGTCTACTTTCATGTACACACAGGCAATTTAAGTGTACTTTGCATAATGCAAATTGTTTTTCCAAGACAGAATGTATTTTTGGTTTTTATTACTAATCTAAAAAAACCCTGAATAATAATCATTCTTTGGGCCTTAATAAGATTTTTGAGATTCTATATTTCTTCTAAGAAAATAATTTTAAATATAGGATAAGAAGAGTCTGCTGGAAAAGGAATTATAAAAGACCCCAATATCATAAAATTGGTAGGTTGCTAATCTCATAATACACAGTTTTATGTATTATTTATTTAGAAGGGTGGCCTATATAATTGTCATTATTATCTTTATAACAACATTGATATATTTGCTTTTTTCATTTACAAGTAAAGAAATCTCAGAGAAACAATATCTAATTCTCATAAGACATGGAATTGATAAAAATCAAGGTGAAAATCCAATTTTTATCTGTCTCTAAAACAGATATGGATAGGAAAAGCTCACTCAGTCTGTTTGTTCACAGTACATTGTAGCCTGTATATAAAAATATGGTAATAATAATACACTAACAGGAATATTGGGGAAAAACTATTCCAGCATGACTTGTTGTTAACTAATTAGAATATATATCAGTCTGTGCATCCTAGAAAAGGACATACAAATGACAAAACATCTAGAAAAGAAGATTAAAAAGATGGATGCAGTAAAAGAAGATCTTATATAGAAGAAATAAAAATTATATAGCTTGCACAGTGAGAATGAGTTTTAAATCTAATGTTGGGTGCCTTCTACATGTCAGTACTTTACTGTTTTTATCTGTTATTTAGTCCTTAAACAACTGTGTGAGATACAGTCTTGTTATGCCTGCGTTCAGCTTAGCAAGCAGGTGTGAGCGGTTGAGTGCCCAGAGTTAAGCACTGTCTGAGCCCACACTCTGACTCACTGTACTGCCGGAGCACTAGACACCTTCCCCTGCGGTACAAGAGCAAGTGTAGGGGACATCTCAGCTTCCTGCTATGAATATATAATAAGGGCCATGGAGTTGACAGTGACTTACATCTCTCTCTTCTGTTCAAGTTAAAAAGTTGTAGGGGTTTGTTTGTTGTTCTTGTTGTTTTCTATTATAAACCTAATGGTAATTTCTCTTTTCTATTAAGCCCCTCTATGGCTTACTTCAAGCGAAACTTCAACTCATTACACACGCATATTTCGAAGAGAAGGATTTTTCCCAAATTTCCATCCTAAAGGTAACCTTATGCCCCTGCCTAGATATGTTTAACTGAAGGTAGAGTTCATGAATTAAATGCATCTTGTCAGTAACACTGTGAAGGATAATCAATTATTAGCTTAAGAAAGACACTCTTAGAAAATCCCTTTACAGTAAAACATTGAAGTACTGGGAATCTACCCAAATACTTAATTTAACAAAATTGTGTTTTTTAGGAAATATGACTATAAATAACTAAATGTTTCTTTTAATAACTTTTCTTATTAATAAACTGTACAGTGTGTTTATATATCAAGCTTCTCGTTCCTAATTCTCATAAACCAGAGAAACCATAGGATATTTTATTAAAGATGGATAACGTGTTTTTCTCAAGGCTGTCATTTACCATACAGATGATGGATCTCTCCTAAATACTGATAAGAGTAGGACAGTTAGGAATTTAGCAAGGAAGCAGAGGGAATTCATCCTAAATGTTCATACCACCATGTGAATGAATCAAGCTCTAAAATAGAAGTAATACCCTAATAGCTATTTTTAAATTATTATTTTTAAGTTGTAGATGAACACAATACCTTTATTTTATGTATCTTTAGGCTGAGGATCTAACCCAGGGCCTTGCCTATGCTAGGCAAGCACTCTACCACTGAGCTACAACTCCAGCCCATCTGATAGCTTTTTTCACGCTTGTATAAGATCTCTTATAATAGCGCTCATGTCTGAAAAAGAAGGAATGAAATGTTGAAAACTGGCAAGATTTCAGAGAGACCTTGATGGTTCTAAATCTAGTACCTGACAAAATAAGCTGTCTCAGTTTGTAAACCAACTATCTTCTGGATCAGTGTATTTCTAATTCATTGTCAAAATGATAATAAAGTATTCTAAACTCAGTTTTTATTTCATAGGAGCTTTATGACCATATGAATAGTTCCTTGAGTGGAACTTCATTAGAAGGATCCCAAGTATATCTTGGTAAGTAACATTTTTATGAGTCAGAAGAAATGCCCTCATTTCTTTTTGTTCAGCTAACTAAAATGCATGTAAAGCTTTATGATCAGAATTACATCTGTATATGGGACCTAAATTCTTCAATGTATGATACTGCTTTTTCCTTAAATATCCTGTTAGGCATTGTTTATTTTTTTAAATTTATTTATTTTTGTACCGGGGATTGAACCCAGAGATGCTTTGCCACTGAGCTACATCTCCAACTTTTTTTTTTTTTTTTGAGACAGAGCCTTACTAGGTTTCCCAGGCTGATCTTGAACTAGAGATCTTCCTGCCTCAGTCTCCAAATCACTGGATTACAGGCATGAACCACTACACTTAGCTCAAACTTTAAGCAAACTATACAAGTTTAAAATTTATATACAATGGAAGAAGATATTAGACCTGCACTGTCCACAATAGCAGCCACTAGCAATGTATAGCTATCTACATTTAGATTAAAATAAATAAAAATTAGATAATATTTAAAAGTCAGTTTGTCAGGCTTGGGACAGTGGTGAATGCCTGCAATCCCAGCAGCTCAGAAGGCTGAGGCAGAAGGATCAAAAGTTCAAAGCCAGCCTCAGCAATTTAGTGAGCCCTAAGCAACTTAGCAAGACCCTATATCAAAATTTAGAAAGGGCTGGGGACATGGCTCAGTGGTTAAGCTCTCCTGAGTTCAATCCCTGGTACCTGAAGTCAAAGTCAGTTTGCCTGTCACACTTGCCTTATTTCAAGTATGTAGTGACCACATGTGGCTGCTGTACTGGACAGGGCAGGTTTAAAACGTTCTAAAACATTTCCATCCTTACAGAAAGTTCTATTGGATAGCCCTGTTTCTAAGCATATGCGTATTGAATCAAATATTACATAAATATTTGAATATTTGCATTATCTGAGTTTCTTTTTTAACCTTCTCTTCCTAATTTTCAACAAAAACAGTAGAACTATAGTCACAGATTAGCTTTTTTGTTAACATTATAGGTCTGTCTCCTCGAGATCTTGTCCTTCATTTTCGACACAAGGTATGATACCTTCTTTAATTTATGATGTGCTAAAATGGGAGACATTGTTTTTACTGTGTTTATTTTAATGGCAAATTTAAGAGTACTGCATCAAATAGAGATTGTTTCACGCTTGTATCAGATCTCTTATGATAGGCATTACTCTTAGTTCTTCTAATATAGTGTTTCATCTTATAACTATACCAAGTTGAAAGTGTCAAGAATGCTTGTATCAGAGGACTGGAGCTGTAGCTCAATGGTAGAGCACTTGCCTAGCATTAGCAGTAACCAAATTCTTTTAATCGTCAGGATAATTTTTGTCTGTTTTTGAGCAGATGTTTTCTTGCTCCTTGGATAACTGTGAATATATGAACGTCTCATCAGTAATGTGGGCACTGCCCAAATGGAAATCAGCATGTCTGAGGCCCTGGATTCAATTCTTAGCACCACATATAAGTAAAATAAAGGTCCATCAACAACTAAAAAATATTAACAAGAAAAGAGTGCTTGAATCAGAAATTTCTAAAGGAGCGCATACTCTGTTTACTTCTTATGATATAATGCATTTCTCTTTGTAATTTCAGCTATAATGACATTAGACTAAAAAGAACATGTTTTGATCTTGCAGAGTAATTTTTTGTTGTTCACTTAGTTATTCATGACAGCAGAATGCATATAAATTCATTATATGCAAATAGAACACAATATTTCAATTCTCTGGTTGTACACATGTAGAGTCGCACCATTTGTACAATCATGTATGTGCCCAGGGTAATGATGTCCATCTCATTCCACCATCCTTCCTGTCCCATACCCCCTATGATCTTACAGAATATTTTGTGTTGTCATGAAAATGGAACATTTTCCAGTAAAATATCTATCTTTATCTTTTCTGATCTTTTTTGTTTTGTTTTGAATGTGAGGATTATGATCTTCATTGTTAAGGCATATGTTGACTAGGACATACACATGTCATTCATTTATCAAACTTTTTTTTCAAATTTATTTATTCTTATTGATTTATTTTGACTATACATAAAAGTGGGATTCTGTCACAACACATGACTAAATCATTCAGGTTGCTCCAAGTAAATTTAGGTTGGCACAAAATAATCACACAAAGACAGAGAAAATAACTTTTTCTCGGAGTCCAGTGACAGCTCTCAACCTTAGAGGTCCGTTGGAAAGAGCGGCAGCCACCTGAATTTTTTATTTTGATAGTGGAGGCACAAGGGGAGGTTCAATGGAATGTTTCCAAATAAGGCAAAGGGTCAGGTTTCAGGGAGTTAAGTCTCGATTTATGATGTCTTGTTGTCAGTAGATTTATTGGCATCTTGGCAAGTCACACCCATCTCAGGTGCTCTGTGGGATAAAAGGCAGAGAGAGAGGAAAGTGCCTATGTTTGTTGCATGGCCCAAAGAGCACGCAACATCAGGCCAATCCTCCCATAGGCTCAAATACTCATAGTTCACACACACAGCCCATGGCTGGCCTGTGACAGGATTCATTGTAACTTAGTAGCTAACATTTGATAAATTTCTTTCCCCTTTTCCCTCCCCTTCTTCCTTCTCCTGAACCCCTTCCTCAACTCTGCTAATATCCCTTCTATTTTCATGAGGTTCCCTTTTTTAACCTTTTTTTTCTAACTTGCATGTATGAGAGAGAACATCTTTGTTTTTCTGAGTCTTATTTTGCTCAACCTAGTACTCTTCAGTACCATCCCATTTTCCAGCAGATTTTTTTCTTCTTAATAGCTAAATAAAACTATTATGTATGTATCCCCTATTTACTTTTTTTAACCATTTATTGAATGACATCCAGAAATAAATGAATAATCCCTGCCCTTTAAAAACTTACACATATTCAAGCAAAATGGCAACATTCCTTCCAAAAATGATCATTTCATTTGAAGATTTAAGTTACACTCACAAATTTTTAGAGAACATGGGTAGTTATCTTATTATAAGGATACAGGTAGCTGGGTTTTGGTAGTACACACCTGTAATCCCAGCAATTCAGGAGGCTGAGGCAGGAGGATCGATAATTCAAAGCCAGCCTCAGCAACTTAACAAGGCCCCAAGTAACTTAGCGAGACCCTGTCTCAAAATAAAAAATAAAAAGTCTGGGGATGTAGCTCACTGGTAAAGTACTCCTGGGCTCAATCCCTGGAACCAAAATCAAACAAACAAAAAAGATACTGGTATATATTTAATTTCTTGGTATGAGTTCATAGTTTTTTATATATTTTTTTAAAGTGCTGTAGTTACTTAATATTAATTAAATGATATATGATTGTGTTTCAGGAAGGGAAACAGCAAATGATTAAAAGACTTGAATTTCTCATTATAATACAATGTTTCTTTTTTCCTTTCTGCAGGTCTTAATCCTGTTTAAACTCATTCTTCTTGAAAAAAAGGTGAGAGAAAAGATGCAATATTTATTACATTTTTTACATAAAAAAGGAAAAGATGATAAAGTATTAACACATTTTTGGCCTATCAAATTGTGAGCTGAAGCATATATATTCTTTTTCACTGCCATAGAAGGGTAAATTCATGCATTTCTTCTGGAGGCAGTTTGATCGTTGCCTGGAACTTGCAATCCTCCTTCCTCAGCCTCCCAAATAGCTGGGATTACAGGTGTACACCATCATGGAGGTCTATCTTACCTGTCTTAAAGTGTATAATTCAGTGGTATTAAGTTACTTCACTTTGTTGTGCATCTATCACTGCCATCTATCCATAGACCTCTTTTCATCACACAAAACTGAAACTGTGCACCTATTAAACAGTAACTTTCCATTCTTCCTTTCCCTCTCTACTGGCAACCACCATTTTACCCTCTGTTTCTGAATCTAACTACTCTAGGTTCCTCATATAAATGGAATTATACAATACTTGTTGTGTGAGTGTACATGGAGTGTGGGGTGCTAGAGATGAAACTCAAGATCTCATGCATGATAGGCAAGTACTGTAATGTTGAGCTACATCCCAAACCCAGTATTTTGTCTTTTTATAACTGGGTTTATTTCACTTAGCGTAATGCCCTTGAAGTTCATGCATATTGTAGCACGTGTCAGAATTTTCTTTCTCTTTAAGACTGAATAATATTCCATGTAGCTATACTATAAATGTTTATCCATTTACAATAAAAGTACATTATTCAATGTGTAGTTGTTACTGTTCTTTAACAGGCAGGCAAACATTTAATCAAATATCTATAGAGCTAAAGAGTGAGTGTATCCATTTACTTTTGAAAGATTTTCCTATTATAAGATTACTTTAGGGCTGGGGTTGTGGCTCAGCTGTAGAGCACTCACCTAGCACGTGTGAGGCGCTGGGTTCGAGTCTCAGCACTACATAAAAACAAATAAATAAAATGAAGGTTAAAAAATAAAGATTACTTTAAAATTTATGCCTTGATTCTGGGCTTTTCTGAATTTGTGTTTTAAATTACAAAAGAATCTATTAATATATAACTTAATTTTTTTCTTTCTTTTCTTTTGTTTGTGCTGGGTATTAAATCCAGAGCCTTTCTCATTCTAAGCATGCATTGGCCACTCAGCTACACCCCCGAGCCTGTGATTTCTTTTTTTTTTTAATAAGAGAGAGGAGCGAGAATATATATATATATATATATATTTTTTTTTTTTTTTTTTTTTTTTTTTTTAGTTTTCGGCAGACACAACATCTTTGTATATGGTGCTGAGGATCGAACCCGGGCCACATGCATGCCAGGCGAGCGTGCTACCACTTGAGCCATATCCCCAGCCCCCTGTGATTTCTTTTTTAAACATAAGCAAATCTTTGCTTGTTTACCAAGTCATTTAGCATTAGCCGGTATTAGTTCAGGTGTAGTCTCTAACTGAATCCTGTTTCTAATTTAATTTTTTCTCAAATTTTATTCTGAAAAATGTTAAACCTACTAAAAGTTGTTAAGATAATATAATACCTTTTTACCCTTGATCTGTATTTACAATTTGATACTTTCACATTATATTGCTTTATACATGTTCATTTCATTTTTCCCCTGAATTATGATACTTTTTGAGGGGGGATTATTGGGGATTGAACTCAGGGACACTCAGCCAAAAATTTTGTATTTTATTTAGAGACAGGGTCTAAATGAGTTACTTAGCATCTCATTTTTGCTGAGGCTTGCTTTGACCTCACAATCCTCGTCTCAGCCTCCTGAACCACTGGGATTACAGATGTGGGCCACTGTGCCCAGCTGAATCATGAAACTTTGAAAGAAATTTTGTAGACATTATGGTACTGCAAATAAGGGAATATTCCTGCATAACCAAAATACCAATATCACTTTTGAGAAATTTCACATGACCCAATAAATAACATCTAGTAAACAGCCCATTTTCAAGTTTTCCCAGATGTCATAATTCCTTCATAGCTGTTTTTTTTTTTTCCTGGTTCCTCAAAAATTTAATTGGATTTTTCTAGAAATACTTTATATGTTTGAAGTGTACTTTGTGACTAGAGAATTTCTTATCACTGGAGGTGTTAGAAGATAGATATTAAGGACTTTGCAGAATGGATTCTAATTTTAAATAGAAAATTAATTCTGAGGTTACACAGCCCTCTGGTGTTAATCTCTAAATTTTGTCTCTATTGTACCTTAGTGTTTGTTTTTGTTTCTCAGACCTCTCTTGACTAGACTTATCCCATCAATCTCTTAGTAATATGTATTTTTATAAAAATTGCAGTTTTAGCCAGGCGTTATGGCACATACCTGTAATCCTAGCAGCTAGGGAGGCTGAGGCAGGAGCAATGCAAGTTCAAAGCCAGCCTTATCAACTTAGGGGGGCCCTACACAACTCTATGAGACCCTATCTCAAAATACAAAGAACTGGGAATGTTGCTCACTGGTTAAGTGCCCCTGGGTTCAATCCCCAGTACCAAAAACTAAAAATAAAAAGAATGACTGAACTTTTCTCCTATGTGAATATAACCTCATGGACATAAGACTAAACTATAAGCTAGAATTTACACTTGTGTCACAATAAATAATTTATATTTTGTTAGAGATTTAAAAAAATCCATAGCTAATAGTTCATTTTTGTAGGGGATCCAATCAAGGATTATGTATTATTGCATTGCTCACTCCTTCTAATTTCAAACAGTTCCACCATCTCTCTTTTTTTGTTAGTTTTATTTTGTATCTCATGACATTCACACTGTTTAAAAAATCCAGACTAGTCTTGCAGTGTTTAGTTTCTGTTTTCTTGTGGCTAGTTTCAAATTTAACTTTTTGGTAAAAATGCTTCAGAGGTGGTGGTATATTCTCAGGATATGACATCAAAGGCTCATAACTACTTGTACTATTTCTGGTGATGTCAATATTGGTTAAGGTGGCGGTTAACATGTTATCAATATGTAATTTGTAGAATAATGCATTGTGAGTATCCCTGTTGTTCAACAATCTTTCACAGTAGTTTTAGTGTCTTTGGCAATTTTTACTCAAATCATGATGGACGCTAAATGGTGATTTTCTATCATTGCTTATACATTTATTAATTGCTGCTCTTCCCCTTTTTTAATATTATGGTGGATTTTCTAATTTATTTTGATTGAATCCATTTCAGGTTCTTTTTTATATTTCTCCAGTGAATAAATTGGTGGGTGCACTAATGACTGTGTTGTCCCTTTTTCCAGGTAAGAGGATGGTAGTATCTACTTTATCCTTTGTTTAACATTTTGTTTTGTTTTGTTTTTGCACTACTGAGGACCTAGTACATGCTAGGCAAGCATGCTACCACTGAGCTACATCCCCAGCCCTAATATTTCTGTTTTAACATGGCATTTTCCTTTTGGCATAGATTAAGGGAGTTCTGGGTTTTCTTTCTTTCCTTTTTTATTTATTAAAATGTATGTAAACATAGCTTTAAAATTTTTTTTAATAGGAGACTTTCACTAAATAAAACAGAATATACAATTCTTATTTTCTTTCATTTTATTATAAGCCAAGCTGTTCTCCAATATTATGTATTTTAGGCATGATTGAACATGGTCTCAGTGACTGTTCTCAGTACAGACCCCGGAAGAGTATGTCTGAAGATGCTGGTCTTCAGGAAAGTAATCCTCCTGCAGATGATTTTGTTTCTGGGTCAGCTTCTAACATGTCAAATACCAATTTGGGAACTGTCAAGAAAATCATAGCAGGAAACCATGGAGGAGATGCTTCCATCAAGACTGAAAAGCCTTTTTTCCAACTAGAACATGACAGCAGTAAAGGACAGGAACCCAGTGATACTAATCAATATTTGAAACCTCCATCTCGTCCATCTCCAGAATCTTCAGAAAGTGACTGGGAGACCTTGGATCCTAGTGTCTTAGAGGATCCCAACCTGAAAGAAAGGGAACTGGTGGGGTCAGACCAGACAAACTTGTTTCCAAAAGACTCTGTGCCCTCAAATAGTACTCCAATTACTGTACAACCTCAAGCCAATATGGGGCAGGTGGTCCTGATACCAGGGCTTATTTCAGGTTTGGAAGAGGACCTGTATGGCATGCCCCTGGCCATCTTCACAAAGGTAAAGTGTAATGTCTAGTAATAAAGACATTAGTATTTAACTTTCAGTATCGAATATATTTTCAGGTCTGAAAACTGTCCTTGAAAATTGTAAAATACACACTAAATATATAGCGCTGTGATGTTCTGTGACCATAGTATAAAGCTATAGGGAAATAACTCAGGATTTTAATTAATAAGAGTTTGAAACTTAATAGATATGGAGTTAGAAATCACTGAATGTATTGGATATTGGGTTTTTTTTGTTGTTTTTTTTTTTTTTTTTTTGGTAGGGGGGACACCAAGGATTGAACGCAGGGGCACTTGACCACTGAGCCACATCCCCAGCCCTATTTTGTATTTTATTTGGAGACAGGGTCTCACTGAGTTGCTTAGCTCCTTGCCTTTGCTGAGGCTGGCTTTGAACACTCAATCCTCCTGCCTCAGCCCCCTGAGCTGCTGGGATTATAGGCATATGCCACTACACCTGACTTGGGTTTGTTTTTAATTATTCAGATTTCTTTTTTAAAAAGGATGAATTGAGGAAATCCAGTCTTGACTGCATGTAATATATATTAAAATACTAAAATTATAGCCTGTAGTCCCAGTTTCTCAGGAGACTGAGGCAGGTGGAGTACTTGAGCCCAGGAGCTCAAGAACAGCCTGGGCAATGTAACAAGATGCCGCTTCAAAAGAGAGGCCAACTGTGGTGGTTTGCATTTTTCAGTAATCATTATTTTCATGAACTTTTGGCCACTTGGTTTCACTCTGTGCAGTATTGATTCAAACCTTCTGGATTGTCTCCTGTATTGTCACTGATTTGTGGAACTTCTTCATATATCTAAATATCTTTTCTATTAATTTTTTACTTTGGTTAGTGCTTTAGGAGTCTTATTTAGAAATTCTCTACTACCTCAAGGTTATAAAAGCGTTTTCCTATATTATTTTTTTAAAAGCATTATAATTTTGAATTTTATCTTTTGGGCTACCTGAAATTGATCTTTGTGTATAGTAGGGAAGGGAGTCTGTTTCTGGACTCTTGTTGCTGTTTGTTGAGGCATTGTCTATCCTGTACCAGTCCTCACATTGTGCTATTACCATGTGAATCATTTTGGTAAAGAAAAGTCTTCCTGTCATAGCATTGTTCTTCAAGTGTTTCTTGCCCTTTACATTTCCACATCAGTTTTAGAATCAACTTACTGAATCCTCACTCATGTAGATTGAGATTTTCGGTAGATAATTTTGGAGAGAATTGGAATCTTTACAGTATGGAAGTGTCTAGTTCATGAACATGCTTACTGACCCTAACAAGAGAAAAGATGAGAAAACAGCTGTTATTTCCAGTCATATCTTTACCTTTTCCGTGTCGCGTGAAAAAATCATATTGTGGGTCTGGAGTTGTGGCTCAGTGGTAGAGCACCTGCCCCATACGTGTGAGGCACTGGGTTCAATCCTCAGCACCGCATATAAATAAATGAATCAAATCAAGGTACAAAATAACTAAAAAAAATATATTCTTTTTTTTTTTTTTTTTAGAGAGAGAGAATTTTTTTAATATTTATTTTTTAGTATTTTGGCGGACACAACATCTTTGTATGTGGTGCTGAGGATCGAACCCAGGCCGCACGCACGCCACGCGAGCACGCTACCGCTTGAGCCACATCCCCAGCCCCAAAAAATATTCTTAAAAAAAAAAAGCACAGTATGCTTTCCCAGCTCTTTAGATGAACTCTTAGTGCCACCAGAGTTACTAAATTGAAATGTGTTTTTACTTTGTTGCTCAATTGTAGTTAAAAAAAAAAAAACAGATTTACCATCTTTACTAATTTTAAGTATATAGTTATTCAGTAATATTAACTGTATTCACATTTTTGTGCTACAGATTTCCAAAATTTTATCTTATAAAACTGAAACTATGCCCATTAAATAACTCTCCATTTTCTCTTCCTCCCAGTCCCTGACATCTACCATTCTTTACATTTCTATGAATTTGACAACTTTAGCTCCCTCATATAAGTAGAATCATACAGTATTTGTCTACTTGTGACTGGCTTATTGCGCTTAGCTTAACCTCCTCAAGATTCATCCATGTTGTAGAATGTGATAGGACTTCCTTCCTATTTAAGGCTGAATAATATTCCATGGTATAAATATGCCTGACTTTCTTTAATCATTTGTTCATTCATCAACGGATAGTTAGATTGCTTCTACCTCTTGCCTGTTGTGAATAATGCTGCTGTGAACATAGGTATGTAAATAGCTCAGTGATGTGTACATGGTGACTTTTTATCTTAGTGATGTTTGCTTGGTGATTTTCTTAGTGTTTTTTGTTTTGTTTTTACTATTTTATACTGCAGTTTCACATATGGAAGTTAAAGTATCCTTAAAAAGTAGGAAACCAGGAGTGGGCTTGGATATGGAGGCTGCTTTATGTAAAAGGAACTGCACTTTTGCTACCACCATACATTAATGTTTCTAAGATTTACACTGAATTGATCATCATTAAAAGTAATGGCACAATTTTAAAACTGCTTCAAAATATCATTTTAAACAATGTGATAAATATGTAATACTCCCATATAGTTCAGTAGTTAAAGATTTCAAAGCATCTATAATAAAGTCTCTATAGGCTGGGGTATCGCTCAGGAGAGAGTGTGTTAAGCACGCACTAGGCCCTGGATTGAATCACCAGCATCAAAAAGAAAATAAAAAGGATTTTTTAAGAAGTCTTCCTTCCATTTCATTCCTGCTGTCCAGCTGCCCTTTACAATAGTAGTCAATGGTATCAGTGTCTTACATCTCCTTCTGGAGATATTTTATGCATAAAGAAATGCATAGAAGTAGACACAGTGGCACATCCTATAATCCCAGCTACTCAGGAGACTGAGACAGAAGAATTACAAGTTTGAGGCCAGCCTGGACAACTTAGCAAGTCCCTGTCTCGAATAAAAAAAAAAATTTAACTGCAGTGGGGCTGGAGATGTAGCTCAGTGAGTGCTCAAGGACTGGGCATGCATGGGCCTCTGGGTTCAAAAAAAAAAATGCATAGATTTATCTTCTCCCTTTTTACCAAGTGTTAACTGACTATGACTGTTTTTCTGCACTTTAATTTCCTTTGCATGATATTCCTTAAAGATGAACTTCATCACTTTCTATGGCTGCATTGTGTTTCTCTATATGGCTGAACATTTATTTAGTCCTTTATTCTTGAACAGTTAGGATTCCTATGTGTTGATATAATATAATGTCACAGTAACTTTTCATAAATGGAATACCACATATGAGTAGGTTTATCTGTAGAATAAATTACAGGAGGCAGAACGCTGGGCCAAAGGGTTTATATATTTATTATTTTTAAAAGTTTTTGTTGTTTTTGGTTTTGGAGGTGCTTTTGTTTGTTTTTTCAGGATATCACTAAGTTGCCCAGCCTGGCCTTGAACTTATAATCCTCCTGCCTCAGCCTCCCAAGTCATTAAGATCACAGGCATCTACCACCATGCCCATCTAAAGAATGTTTTTGAAATACATTTTTTAAAAGCTTATAACTCCTTTTTTTCCTCTTTTTCGTGGTGCTAGGGATCAAACCCATGCAAAGCAACTGTTCTCCCATTGAACTATATCTCCAACTGCCTATTTAAAGAAGAAAAAATAAAAACCTACTTCTTAGTTTTGATACTGTTATTGACTTAGCCAAGAATCCCACTGTTGATAATAGACCTTTCTTCCCTAAAAGAATTGATTATGAAATGTAAGTTCTCTTACTGCTATTTTGCTGTGTAAATCTTTGGTAATAATTAACAGTTCTGAGAGTACCTTTATCAAGAGTCTCAGTCCTAACCGGGAAGCAGGTATTCTGTAGGGATCACATCAAGTGTAAGGAACATTCAGTATTGTAGAGGTTTTGTTTGGAAATAGGCATTTGTGGGAGTAGGAGGTACCATTTCTTTTAAATGCACAGCACACAGCTCAAGCATGAAGCATGAGCCCCAAACCACCTATTTTGGCTGAATGGTTCTGAATGAGGGCACAGGTCCTTTCAGCCTTCAGTCCCAACAGACCGGGGTTGAGAAGCATTATAAACATCTCTATGCATAGACATTGATCTGTTTTGCTGGTTGTATAGTTAGGGTTTTATTGAGCATCAAAGACATTGTCAAGAATAAGAATAAAACCAAGTCATTAGACCTATATTCCAACTTCTGGAACTCTTCTCTCCCATAGTAACTGCTTAACAACCATCTGTCAGATACAGATGTAGTGAAGAATATGAAGTTATAAAAGATGTATCTCCTCTCCTTAGATTTTTTCATGGTATAATCAAGTTATATCTGGCATATCACCCAAATAACTAATTTAGTGTTTAAAAAGTGATGAGAGGTAGAAAACTTACAGAACTTGAGACTGAAAACAACTTCATGGGCTCAACAAGTCTGTCCTCCTGGCTTCATGCACAAGTGAAACCACATGTTGAAAACTATTCTGTTTAGAATCATTAAGCAGAAATTTCATATCCTTCTTCAGTCATTCCAGTGTTCGTACCTTTATTCTCAGGAAGTATGGGGTCTTATTTGTTTTTCGTATACTTAATGCCTATTTAAAGTTTAGCAATTGAACTGTAATTATCAAAGAAGTGCTATTTCAAATACAATTCAAATGGAAGCCAGTTAAATACACAACTACTGCCAGTGTCATTTTTGCTTTAAATAGCAGCAAGTATTTTTGCATGATTTTTTGGGGGAAAGGGGCTGGTTCTGGGGATCAAACCCAGGCCTCCTGTTACTAGACAGGCACCCTACCACTGAGCCCCAGCCCCAGTCCTGCATGATTTTAATGGATAATAAAATAATGTGGTATTCTCGTAATAGTACTCAGTATTTACATGCAGATACATGTATTTTTAAATTTCTAACAGCTTTCTATTAAACAACATACTTTTTTAATGGGCTTAGTACTTTATTTCCTGAATTATAAAATTCAATTTGTTAATTACTAGAGAGGCTTTTAAATTGAACCAGGAACAAAGTGATCAAGTAAGACAACCTTCATGTTAACCACTTTGCCAATATTTAACCCCTCATGAAGAAGATTAGCTAATCAGTAACTGGATATATTGCAGTCAAGAGCGAAGATTCCCCTGGAATATTATTTTAGTGAGTCAAAGGTTAGCAGATATAGAGACAGGCAGGGAGCAATAGGCATTTCTTTTACTGTTAGCTTTCCTGCTGTTAGCTTGAAAAGAAAGGCAGCTGTTCTTTATTTTTCTGATATTTCCTATCACTCTTATGATCCACAGGGATATCTGTGCTTGCCCTACATGGCATTGCAGCAGCATCATCTTCTCTCTGATGTCACCGTTCGGGGATTTGTTGCTGGAGCTACTAACATCCTTTTTCGACAACAAAAACACCTCAGTGATGCCATTGTGGAAGTACGTTGTATATCTAAGTGGGTGTACTTGGCCTACTGATCCCTTTGTTCCTTTCTTAAACGTAATTTTAAAGGTATAACAACAACACTAGTAAAGATAGTGATTGCTTACTGAATGCCAGGCATCCTAGGCACTTGCTGTTAACTGATCTAATTATATTACAAAACTACTCTGTGAGATATAGATGTTGTTACTGTCTATGGATTACACCTGCATGAGCTGAAGAACTGAAAGATAAGTGTCTTGCAAGTGTCAAACAGCTAATAAGTGATCAAGTCAGGATTCCAACCTAAGCATTTTGGATCTATGACTAAAATGTGTTTATTGTTCAAATAATTTAAATCTTTCTAGCCTTATTAATATGCTCTTGATTCTAAAAAGAAAGTTAAGGGGGCTGAGGTTAAGGCTCAGCGGTAGAGTGCTTGCCTAGCATGTGCGAATCCCTGGGTTCTATCCTCAGCACTACATAAAAATAAATAAATAAAATATTGTGTCCAGCTACAACTAAAAAATAAATATTTTTTTAAAGTTAAGAATAGAGATTTGACATTTTATCAGTATATAAAATTTAAATCTTTTTTTAACTTTACAATTGAAGTATTTTTAAGAAAAAGAAATTTTAAACACGTTAAAAGTTTTTGGAGTTAATGATGGAAACTACTTGCTTCATGGGAGAACAACAATAATACCTGAAAAAGCCATGATTGAAATCATATTTATTATGATCCCAAATTTGGAAAGGAAACAAAGTTGTACACTGTCCAAGACCATTGAATATGGACAGGAGGACCAGAGTTGCTTCAGCATTGTTGGTTATATTGTAGTACAGAAGTTGGTTGGCAGTTTCTTGATTATTTGTTTTATTATTTCTATTTGAAAACCAATGTAGGGGCTGGGGTTGTGGCTCAATGGTAGAGCACCCACCTCACAAGTGCGAGACCCTGGGTTCGATCCTCAGCACCACATAAAAATAAATAAGTGAAATAAAGGTATTTTGTCCAACTGCAACTAAAAAATAATAAATATTTTTTAAAAAAGAAAACCAATGTATAAGTTACACAAAAACTTCTTTTTATATCAAGTATTACATAATAAAAGATATTCTGAAGTATGCACTTAAAAGGAAGACTTTTTGAGGAATTATACTTAAGTTCATTTCTATAGTGAAATAAAGGTAATTTTATTATATAGGTATCTCTATTATTCAAAAATATTTAGAAACAACATGAATTACTTTTATAATTCAGTATAGTATATTTATGCATGTATTTCCTAAAAACAGAAAATGAGTATTTTTGAACACAAAGAAAAAAGCTCCAGTATAAAAACCTGGCATATTTTTAGAGTCACCAATTGAGAATGCTATTATTCATATATTTTTATTTCTAGTTCCAACTTCCCAGTAGTTTTTCAAGTGTGGCACGAATATCTGTATGAATGCCCAGATTCTGACTTATACCTGGCATCCTGTAGGTAGAAGAAGCTCTGATCCAAATCCATGATCCAGAACTCAGGAAGCTACTTAACCCAACCACTGCAGACCTAAGATTTGCTGATTACCTGGTGAAGCATGTGACTGAAAACCGAGATGACGTCTTCCTGGATGGCACTGGCTGGGAGGGAGGTGACGAATGGATCCGGGCCCAGTTTGCAGTCTATATCCATGCCCTGCTGGCTGCTACATTGCAGTTAGGTAAGAAACCACTTAGCACACAGTCACCCCTTTTTTTTTTTTTTTTTTTTGTAATTTTTCATGTAACATATATGATATTCGGAATTGCACAAGAAATACATATTTGTTATAGAAAATTACCTGTTACTCCTTTATATAGAGATAACTACTATTAATATTTGAATATTTTATCTTTAAGACCTTTTTAATCTATGTATATATATATTTGGATCTGGGCTTTATGGTGGTATTTTAGGGATTTTTTTTTTTTTTTTGAGATGGGTCTTACTGTTGGCTCAACTGGTCTTGAACTCATGGGATCCAGTGGTCCTCCCATCTTAGCCTCCCAAGTAGCTGGGATTACAGATGTGCATATCAGACCTGGTGCCTCTGGTATTTTTGGTAGTCCTTTTGCAAAAAATAAATCCCTTTAAACATGTGTTCTGAAACTAAATTTTTCTTTGTAGTAGAAGCATGAGCTTATATGAAGACAGTAAATACTGATCTTCATCATTCTTATGTGAACAATAACATTCTGGATAATTAAACCTTCAAATGTATACCCCATTGTAAGAAATAATATTTATTCCTATTAATGATTAAAATGATTTAAATATAAATGCAGTGTTAAAACTATCTCATTCCACTTAGGAAAAAACATATACATACAGTGGAGTAGAAGTTTGACATGAACTTTTCCACCTTGGACATTTGGCAACTATTCACTATATTTCTTGTTGTTAAAAGACTATTGAAGCCAGGTGCAGTGTCGCAGGTCTGTAATCCCAGTAGCTCAGGAGGCTGAGCCAGCCTCAGCAACTTAAAGAGGCCTCAAACAACTCAGTGAGACCCTGTCTCTAAATAAAAAATATTTTTTTTAAAAAGGCTAGGGATATGGCTCAGTGGTTAAGTGCCCCTGGGTTCAGTCTTCAGTACAAAAAAAAAAAATGTTGAGCTTGAGTTTTCTGTCTCCTTCAGTTATCTCTACCACGATTTTTTTAAATTCTCATAAAATACATATAACACAAAATTTATCATCTTAATCATCTTTTAATGTACATTTCCACAGTGTCATTAAGTACATTCACATTATTGTGACATTAATTTTTTAATCAATATTATACCACCTTTTCCTAAGCCAGTTCTTCACACATAGGATATGTAGAGTTTTTTTTTTTAATTGATTCTTTTTAGTTATACATGGCAGTAAAGTTCATTTTGATAAAATTATGGTGGGATTCACTGTGATATATTCATATATGTACCTAGGAAAGTTAGGTCAGATTCTTTCCACTGTCTTTCCTATCCCTATCACCCTCCAATATATGGAGTCTTAAGTCCAGGCATGGTCTTTATTTGTAAAGGAAAGCAAATTAAAAAATCCTTATTGGTCAGTGGGATGCTTTTAATTGTCTGCTGCCTCTATAAATGTAGCAGCTGAAATACTAAAATTAAATCTTGTAACCCAGTAATCTAGAATGAATCTCAGTCTTTACTAGTCTCTACCAGTCCCTTGGCTTCCAGAGTAATTAGTTTAACTTTTAAACATATTTTCCCAGGGGGCAGTAATAATTCTATTACTGAATAATAGAATTAGCTAACTTTTTAAAAAACATTTAATGTGTATAGCATTTTCCATGTAATAATTCATTTCATCCTCATAAGAATCCTGGAGCGGGGGTGGGGGCGAGGGGGGGGCGCCCCCCCCTGGGTTTGTGGCTCAGTGGTAGAGTGCTTGCCTAGCATGCATGAGGCACTGAGTTTGATCCTCAGCACCAAATAAATGTAAAATAAAGATATTGTGTCCACCTAAAAATAAAAAATTTTAAAAAATTAAAAATTTAAAAAAAGAATCCTGGAGGTAGATACCTTTTTTCCTCACCCTCCCAACCCCCAACCCCCGAATTGTATGCAAGACAGAATGAGGCAGAAAGAGTTGAATAGCTGGTTCATACATCTGGTAAGAAACAGCTAGAATTTCTTTTTTTTTTTAGTTGCTCAAAACATTACAATGATCTTGACATATCATACATTTGATTCAAGTGGGGTATGAATTCTTTTTTTTCCACGTGTACAGATTGCAGTATCACATTGGTTTTACAGCCACGTTTATACATACAGCCATATTAGTGTCTATTGTATTCTGCTACCCTTCCTATTCCCCCCTCCCCTCTCTTCCCCTCCCATCACCTCTCTCTACCCACTCTATGACACTCCTCTCTCTCTCTCTCTCTCTCTCTCTCTCTTCTTCCTCACACCATCTTATATGTAATTTTGCATAACAGTGGGGGTCTCCTTCCATCTTCTGTGTGATTCCCCTTCTCTCTCCCATTCCCATGCATCTCTCATCCCTATTTAATGGTAATCTTCTTCTCATGCTCTTCCTCCCTGCTCTGTTTTGAGTGAAACAGCTAGAATTTCAACCCAACAGTCTGGCTCAGGCCTAGGTCTTATCAAGGAAGAGAGCAAATTGAGCCCAATGAGCTACTTGAGGAATATATTCTTAGAACACCACCTTTATAATCCCTGAAGTTCGGGAGGCTGAGGCAGGAAGATGATGAGTTCAAAGCCAGCCTCAGCAAAAGCGAGGTGCTAAGCAAGTCAGTGAGACCCTGTCTCTAAATACAATACAAAATGGGACTGGGGATGTGCCAAGTGGCTGAGTGCCCCTGAGTTTAATCCCCAGTACCCTCCTGCCAAAAAAAAAAAAACCTTAATACTGCAAATGGAGCCTCCTATCTCCTACTCTTCTTTTTCTAGCAACAGAAGGTACTTGTATTTTACCTTCATAGCAAAAAACATGCAGTTAATACATAAAGCAATAGCCATTTGAATCTGTTCTCCATTTTCTGTTCTTCCAAGTGGAAGAAATGCTCTGCTTTGAAAACTTTGAGCATTAAGTATGAAAATCCCCATTTATATTATTTTTAAGTATTAGCTCAGTGGTAGAACTCTTGCCTTGCACAAATAAAGGAAATGTGTCTATCTACAACTAAAAATATGTTTTAAAAAGAACTAATATATGTAGTCACCTTATTTTTGTAGAAAAATAACATTTATGCAAAGAAAGATATCCTAACTGCCTTCTCCATATGTATAAACCAGTATGTTTATTCACAATCAAATAGATAGTTTTTGTTTAATAAATAATGCTGTCCTTGTAATAGTAAAGAGAACAGGGAAACATTTTGGAGTTGTAAGGAACCTTGGAAAATATCTGGCTCAACCCTCTTATTTTCCAGTTAGGAAAATGAAGTTCTGAGGGATTAAGTGACTTGTCAAAGACCACATAGCTTCTTAACAGGATTCTGGAACTAGACCCAAGTTTCCTGACATCTGGTAGGCTATCTCCCAAAACAAGTTGGGAGAGTGGGGGATAAAGCCATTCCTTCACCCTTTATGGTTGTTAATCTTCACATTGTGAAAGGCTACAGACAGGATCAACTTCTTTCAAATATTTACTTGACAGATAATGAAAAGATAATATCGGACTATGGGACAACTTTTGTTACAGCATGGAAGAATACTCACAACTACAGAGTGTGGAACAGCAACAAGCATCCAGCACTTGCAGAAATAAATCCAAAGTAAGCACATCCTCTGAAGACTGATAGTACATAAAATGGTTTCTTTACTAAATATGCCCTATACAAAGAAAACTATGTCTTAATTTTGATGTTGTGAATATCTTCAAGAATCACATTAAATAGTTTATTAAAAAGCTCATAGAAGTGGTATACACCTGTGATCCCAGGGCATACCTCACCCAACCAAGAATGCTAAAGCAAGAAGATAAAAAAGTTCAAGGCCAGCCAGTGCAATTTAGTAAGACCCTGTCTCAAAACAAAAAATGAAAAGGGCTGGAGATGTAACTCAATGGTAGAGCACCACTGAGTTCAATTCCTGATACCTGCACCAAAAAAAAAAAAAAAATCAAAAAAACCTACATACAGAGAAGCAGCTTAAAAACTGCTTTCATATTCAAAGTCTTTGTACAAAAAACACAAGATATTATTGGAAGGATTAACATTTCTCCAGCATTGATGTGATCATAGTGGAAGTTCTTGACATGGTGATGCTCAGAACATAATGATCTTCTCTCACTTTCCCTAGAGCTGTACTTCAGCTGAGTGAGCAAACAAGACTAAGTTTAGAAGGAAATATCTGAGATTCTAAAATGCAACAAAATTTAATACCTGCCACAATACTAAATATTGACTGAACAAACTATCCCATGTAGGCATAAAAGATATACTGTGGAGTGATACAGTTATGAAATAACATTTGGGTGTGAATATAACAGTAGAATCCTAGGAGATCGATTGATATAATTCATACATGCTGGGAACTTATGTTTAAAAGATTTAAATGATGTTGTTTGTAATGATATAAGCATACCTGACTGGTTTTGTATGTGTGTATGTTTGTGCATTTTAAACTTTTACTTCTTGGTAAGAAATGGACACATGTGTGAGACCTTGGGTTCTCCAGTATTGCAGAAAAATTCCCAGTACTTAAAAAAAAAAAAAAAAAAGGATAGGCATGGTGGCTCACATATGTAATCCCAGCAACTCAGGAAGTTGAGGGAAGAGGATCACAAGTTTAGGCCCAACCTCAGCAATTTAGCAAATCCCTGTCTCAAAATAAAAAGAACTGGGGATATAGCTCAGTGGTAAAACACCCCTAGGACCCAGGTTTAATCCCCAGTACAAAAAAAAAAAAAATTCACAGAGGTCAACTTTGTACTGACTGTCATCCTACTTGGGAGCAAGGATTAATTTTATTTAATTAAGGATGTGATTTAAATGGTCCTAAAAAGGACACTCCTGCACACACAACACCCAGATATTTAAGCAGTAGTGACCTGGGGAAGTATTTGGGGGTAAAGTGATGTAGAAGAGTTTGGGAAAAAATGTCTCTATCAAGAAAAATTAATAGGTTTGGTGCTAATGTGGGTTTAGTTATCATTTAGTTAATATAATGAATTGTAAGAGTTTAGTCTAGTGCCTTCATCTTGAACCAGCACTACAGACTGTAATGCAGGTCCATGAGAGTGAGTTCACTTGGAGTAAGTTTTAAAGGACTGTAAAATAGTACTTTAAATAAAATTTAAAAGTTAAAAGTTATGTAAGTTGAGAGGAGGCTGAAGAAAGATTTATTAACTAAGGTAATTGTATGGTCAAGATAGCAGATTTTCAATATTTTTACTAGATTAAAAACAAGAAATGGGAGCTGGGGTGCAGCTCAGTGGTAGTGTTTGGTTTGTCTAGCATGAGTGAGGCCCTGGGTTCCATCTCCAACACCATCAAAAAAAAAAAAAAAAAGAGGAACAAGAAAGAAAAAGAAAAAAGAATACAAGTGATAATCTTTAAGTATAATTTAGAAATACTCCAAACTAATTGTAATTTTTGTTATCTGTGAAACCCTTTTCAACTTCTAAAGATTAGAAAAGGCCATTTTCAATAAGCCAAGGGCACATTTCATTCCTAAAATACAGCCTTCCAGGAACAGAAAGAATGACTATGTGATCTCCAAGGTTTTTCAGTCTTGTGATTCAGGAATTCAGAATTTTTCTGGAGAAAGAGTTACATATGCTTAATTTGACCCAGAGCAATTCATTGCCATTTTTTAAATAGCACTTAATAAGCAGCTATGGAAGGCTGGGGATGTTGCTCAGTGGTAAACACTTGCCTAGTTTGCATGAGTAAGAATTTACCAGGGTTATGTTTTGTTAGACTTTGACAGAGGAACCCCTGAATATGAGGTAAGGATTTAGATTTCTTTTTTTTTAATATATTTTATAATTGTAGATGGAGAGAATGCCTTTATTTTATTTGTTTATGTGGTGCTGAGGATCGAACCCAGTGCCTCACACATGCTAGGCAAGTGCTCTGCCACTGAACTACAGCCCCAGCACAAAGATTTGGATTTCTTGACCTATTCGTTCATAATCTGACTGTAGTCAAGATGTGTGTTTGGGGTTTTATTTTTGTTTTTGTTTGTTGAGAAAGGGTTTTGCTGTGTTTCCCAAGCTGGCCCTAAACTCTTGGGCTCAAGTGATCCTCCTACCTCAGCCTCCCGGTTTGTTTTAATAATATAGTACCATTTTGAAGACCTGCTTTTTTTTTTTTTTTTTTTTGGTATCAGGGTGTGAACCCGGGCACTTAACCACAGACTCACATCCTCAAGTCCCTTTTATAATTTATTTAGAGACAGGGTCTCACTGAGTTGCTTAGGGCCTCGATAAACTGCTGAGGCTGGCTTTGAACTCAAGATCCTTCTGCTTCAGCCTCCTGAGCTGCTGGGATTATAGGCGTGTGCCACCATTTCCAGCAAGACCTGCATATTTAATTGCTTTTTTAACAAAGTATGGATTTTTGCTGGTCCACCTACCTCTCATGACCAGTAGCACACATTTATAAGTTGACTGGCATCAAGATATAATTCATGACCAGGGCCTCAAGTCAGTGACTCACATTTACTGTCCTGGTGAGCTTTTAAAAAATGTTGATGGGCAGGCACAGCTCTATGGGATCACTTAATCTTGGAATTTGAGACCTACCCGAACAACATGGCCAACCCTATCTTGATAAAATTAAATTAAAGAAAAAAATAAATGTTGATGCTTGAGCCTAACCCAGACCAAATAATTCAGAATATCAGGGTACAATAATATAACTGCCCATTCTCCCAAACGTGCAAACACACACACACACACACACACACACACACACACACACACAAACACACAAACACACCACCCATTTAACAGGGGAGGAAACTAAAACTCAAGAGGGTTTGAGTAATCTCTTTAGAATCTCATAGTGTTAATAAAAAGCTATGACCCAGTTATGTCACCCTTGAGAAGTTTACTAATTTTTGTGTGTATGGTAACTCTGTTTTGCAGCCATCCATTTCAAGGCCAGTACTCAGTATCAGACATGAAGTTAAGATTCTCTCAGTGAGTACCCCCAAAAATATGGGGAAAATTCTTTTGCCTGAAATTTATGCCATGTGTTTCATTGTTAATAAGGAATTTTGTTTTTCTGATTGATAAACTGTGCTTTAAATAGTAACCAAATATATGCATAACATTGTCTAGCTTGGCAGTGTGTATATTTCAAAGTAAAAATACTTTTGTTCCATGATAGAGAGGGAGGTTAATCCTAATAATAGGATTTGCCATTCTTATTTTGGTGAAGTACCTTTGGCAAACCACATCTATCTAGGAGATTTAACTACACATCCTATGTCTTCACCTTTTTTGTTGTTGTTGTTTCATCTAAATCTTTCAGTATATTCTGAAAATTTGCACTTAAATGGTTAATAGATTTTATAACAAATAATGAATAATTTTAGCTTCTTAATAATTCTAACTTGGTATGGTTATAGAGTGAATGTATGTGTGCATGTGTGAGATTTTTTTAAATTGTACTTAACACTTGTCTCTTTTACTCAGTTCTGTTCAGAATAGTGAACGTGGCAAAAAAATTGGAAACGTCATGGTCACAACTAGCCGGAATGTTGTACAAACAGGAAAAGCTGTTGGTAAGGCATGCCTTTAACCAGGAACAGATTGGAGTTGTACATTTCTATTTTCTGCCCTCAATATGTAATTGATAAAAACATAGAGTTTTTGAGAACTACATATTACAATAATACAAAAGGGGTTTCAAATTTTCATCTTACCTATTTAAAAAAGTTCTTATCACACCAGATTATAGGATTCATTAATTTCACACATCTGATGGGTAGTGACAAAATTTTCTAATGAGATCACTATTCTGCCACCAGGGTCGAAACTTCACCAGAGTTTTTTGCACCATTCCCTGAGATGCCCACAGTTCTTTATAAATAGCAGAGACTCAAAATAAAATGGACATTAGGAGCTGCTATCTTCTGATGTAGTATCACATGACAAAGAAAATTAATGAAACTAAAGGTTGAAGTTTTTTGTTGATGCTAAAGATCAATGATATTGCTGGGCATGGTGGCACATGCCTATAATCCCAGTGGCTCGGGAGGATGAGACAGGAGGATTTTGAGTTCAAAGCCAGCCTCAGCAGCTTAACAAAGCCCTAAGCAACTCAGTGAGACCCTGGGGATGTGGCTCGGTGGTTAAGCACCCCTGGGTTCAATCTCTGGTACCAAAAAAAAAGAAAAAAATAGATCAAAGACATTTATAAAGCCTTTATAGATTGATAAAAAGAAGAAGAAATGCCAGGCACAGTGGCATATAATCCCAGCAACTTGGGAGGCTGAGGCAGGAAAATTGCAAGTTTAAGGTCAACCTCAGCCACTTATCAAGGCCCTTAGCAACTTAGCAAGACCCTATCTCAAAATAAAAAATAAAAAGAGCTGAGGATGTGGCTCAGTGGTAGAGCACCATTGAGTTCAATTCCCAGTACCAAAAAAAGAGAAAGAGAAGGAGAAGACACAAATAACCAATATTAGAATGAAGAATGGTACATCACTATAGATCTTACAGAAATTAGAAATAAAGGAACATTGTGAACATTTCTATGTCAACAAATTTGACAACATAGATGAAATATACAGATTCTTTGAAAGACTCAAATTATCAAAACTGATGCAATAAAAAACAGAAAATCTGAATAACTTTATATATCTAGTAGAAAAATTGAACTTAAAATTTAAAACTTTGCCACAGGTTTTAAATTTAATCTTGACCTATATGGCTTCACATTGAATTCTATCAAAAATATAAGGAAGAAGTAATACTAGTTTTACACAAAATCTTTCAGAAAATAGTGCGTTGAACTAAGGCTGTTATTGACCCAGATACCAAAGCCAGACAGATAATAGCATGCTAAGTATGTAATTCTGCACCTAGCTTTTTTCACTTAAAAAAAAAAATTATATGTTGACTGAGATCAAAGTAAAATTCATGACCAGGGCCTCAGGTCAGTGATTCACCCTTACTGTCCTGGTAAGCTTTTAAAAAAATGTTGATAGACAGGCACATTGGCACATACCTATAGTCCCAGATATATGGAAGGATCACTTAATCCAGGAATTTGAGACCAACTCAAGCCACATGACCAAACCTTATCTTGATAAAAATTAAAGAAAAAATAAGAAAAAAAAATTGGCGGGGAGTCCTGGGAATCTAATCTAGGGCCTCATGCATGCTAAGCGGTGCTTTGCCAATGAGGTACATGCCCAGCTTCTTTATTTTGAGATAGGATCTCACTAAATTGCCCAAGTTATGCTTGAACTTGTGATTGTCTTGCTTTAGCTTGTTAAGTAACTGAGATTACGGGTGTGTGCCGCTGTGCCCAGGCATTTAAAATATTTTGAAGATTGTTCCGTAACTATTCTAAAGTTATTTCTCATTCCTTTTCTATACTTTTAACCTTTTTAAATTTCAAACTTAGAAGCATTGTAATAGTAAAAGGAACTCAGTTTATCTCTGACTTGCCAATTATGTTTTGCTTCATTTGCTTTGTCATACAAGTAGAGCATCTCTCGTTTCTTAGTTCCCGAGAAAGGTTAACTGACCCTTACTAAACAGTTCAAAAGCTCCATGTTGAGATCCTTATAGTTCCAACATCCTATATCCCTAGAAGGACAGTGAAAGAACTCCACAGGCTCATTTTAAAAGATAAACATAGGGGCTGGGGTTGTGGCTCGGTGGTAGAGCACTTGCCTAGCAAGGCCTTGGGTTTGATTATCAGCACCACATCAAAACATAAATAAATAAAATAAAGTTGTCATGTCCAACTACAACTAAAAATAAAAAAAGATAAACACAGGACTTGTAGCTGTACTACAGGTTCACTTTGTTTTGTTTTGTTTTTGTGGTACTGGGGATTAAACCCAGGTTCTTCATGCATTCTAGGCAATGCTCTACCACTGAGCTACATCCCTAGTTCTTTTCTATTTTTAAGACAGGATCTTGATAGGCTGACCTTGAATTTATGATCCTCCTTCCTCAGCCTGCTGAGTTGCTGAGATTACAGACGTGTGCCACCACACTCAGCTATTGTACTTGATTTTTAGTGATGCCACTGCTAATAATAAGTCCAAGCCAAGCATGGCGGTGCACACCTGTAATCTTAGTGGCTTGAAAGGCTGAGGCAGGAGGATCACAAGTTCAAAGCCAGCCTCAGCAACTTAGTAAGGCCTGAAATAACTCGGCAAGACCCTGTATCTAAATAAATTACCAAAAAGGGCTGATAATGTGGCTCAGTGGTTAAGTACCCCAGGGTTTAATCCCAGTATCAATTAATAAATTCATCCATTCAAAGGTCAATTCTCTTCTACATTCCCCTTTCTCAGAATGTGATTCAACTTAAATAATTTCATGTTAGTATCAACTTTTCAGGTAGATAGAGCTCTATAGTTGGTGAATGTAACACAGTGTTAACTTATAAAAAGCAAATTTCCCTAAGACAACCTAACCACTCTATCCTGATTAGGTTATTATCAATAATCAACTCAATATTTAAGGTACGAGAGCACTTTTTACTTTTTAGGCTCTCCAAATAATTCTGATGCACAGCCAGTGTTGATATTAATACTGCATTAAACAGGTTGATAAACAGGCTGGTAGCAGAGGCTGCATGGCTCTTTTAGGTGTTAGGTGCTCCTGTCCATCTTTCAAATGCAAGAGTGGACTCCTATACACCAAAAAAAATCATCCAGTTTCCTATAAGATATTCCCATATGGAGAGGGATTGTTTTGAAACCAGAAATGTAAATGGTTATTTTCCTAATTATAACATATTGGCGTCCAGTGAGTTAACTTTATTAATGAGCATTGTTCTCTCGCTGACATTTTTCCTTGTTTATCCTTGTCATTCCACCCAGGTCAGTCAGTTGGAGGAGCTTTTTCCAGTGCAAGGACAGCTATGTCTTCATGGCTTTCTACCTTCACCACATCTGCCCCCCAGAGTCTCCCCGAGCCCCCCGATGGGAAGCCCTGAGGCTGGTAGCAGAGGCTGCATGGCTCTCTTAGGTGTTAAGTGCTCCTGTCCATCTGCTGCTCCCAACCTCTCCTTCACTGGCCCTGGGTCTACAGCAGGGGACTGAGACATAGAACTGTTTACTTGGACAGTTGCACTTTTTCTAAAGGAAGACCCCTGGATGCTAAAAAGATGAAATCACATCCATGGCAGGAATGGGCTTGGGGTTTAAATTGACTCCAGGTTGGGGTTTAAATTGACTACTTTTATTTCATTTTATTTCATTCTGAGCCTGATTAAAACACAGTGAACACACAATGAACATCTAATGAATTCTGAGATGTACATTTGTTTACTTTAGAAAAGTTTTTACTTATGTATATTTTGTTCTATTTTGCTATTTGAATATCTAGATGGCCATTTTAATTTATATTTGCTAAAACTAAGTTATACTATTATTTTAATTTCTCTAAAGTTAACCCTAAAATGTGTTTATAAAGTAAAAGGCCACACAGTCCAGCCTTTGTTTTCCTGAGTTAGAGGATGATTTTTGGTTTGTTTTTTCTACCCACAAAACACATTTATCAAATCATTTCTTCCCAGAACTGTGAATGTCAGAAGGGGAAGTTCTGAGGTTAGGGTGTCGTTTTCGGTTTTTTAATTTGTTCCTTCCTGACAAACTTGCTTTGAAGCAGCCAGGAGTGTCACTGTGTTCCCGTCCTCTTGTCCTCTTCCTAACCGAGCCAGAGAATATGCAGAGAACTAACATAGTGATGGTGACCGTGGTGTTGGATTAGTTTGACATGAATGTGTGTGGGGTAGTGCTCTCCAAGACCAATGTGTTGCTTCCGTCAACCCTAGTCAAGTTACTGCCTTTATTTATTTTTTTTTTAATCCAAAGTTTGTGCCTTCTATTTCTTCTTTTGAATAGTTTTCCGTTGACAGACCTAGACAGGTTTTTTTCTCTTAGCTTTGTTTTGTTTTGGGGTGGGGTTTTGTTTTGTTTTGTTTTGTTTTTTGTTGTTTTATGTTGTCATTGCTGGAGATGGAACCTTGGGCCTCACACCTGCTGGGTGAGTGTTCCACCACTGAGCTGCATTCCCCAACTGGGTGTTCTTCGTCATAAAGCTTTTCAAGGCACTTGGCCTTCCCAGTTCCTTGACAGTCCTCTTGTAGTCAGTCCCTGCTCCCTTCTAAAAGTGTTTTTAAGAGAAAAATAAAATGAGTCATAAATATTAAATAGAAATCTCAACTTAGGAAAGCAAGAGACAGGGGGAAAAAAACTACAGCCATTCCCTCAGTCACTATTTCATAAGGATGTCTGATTTTAGGTTGCCACGAGCATGCATGTGCTGTGTGCTAACTATCTGTATACAGCTAGAGCTCAGGTGTTTACCTGCTCAGTTCATTTGTTTTGCAAGGGAACTTGAATGATGTTCTCAGGGAGTGCTTATGGGGAACAGATTGCCTTCTCAGTAGCAAAGGACACTTGGAAATTCATTGTAAGTATAGTCTACATATGATATGGGAAGTATTGGGGAAATATAGGATCTAATTAAGGACACTGATTATATTTGATTTATCCCTTTTGAAATGTTTGTTTATAAAGTAAATCCTCGTAAGGCATGGGAAATGAACATGGAGGCATAATCTAAATATCCCTAAATTTACCAATTTGTGCTACTCAAGTCTTATAAATCTAAAAGCATATTTATGTTGGAGCATAACAACTCAAGAATTCAGCCAGGTGCAGTGGCACATACCTATAATCACAGTGACTTGGGAGGCTGAGGCAGAAGAATCGCAAGTTGGAGGCTGGCCTGAGCAACTTGGCAAGACCCTGTCTCAAAAATAAAAAAGACTGGGGATGTGGCTCAATGGTAAAACATCCCTGGGTTCAATACCTATACCCCTTCCCCTCCCCACCCCCCAAAAAAAACTTGAGAATTCAATGATGATAAATTGAGGGGCTTAATGTGAGAACTTCATTATTTCATGTTAGCCAGAAAAATTAACCTCAGGAAATATTTGAAGATAATAATACCAAACAAAACCTTAAAAGCTACTTTAGTCACTGTTGTACTGAGACTATAAAGAATTCATTCTAAGATCTCATCTCATTTCAAGGCCACATCATTAGTTGGAACATGATGGTATATTCATGTTCAGTTGTTACTTCTCAATTGCCAGGTCACATGCCAGGAGCTGAGAGCCTTGTGAAGGGTCAGCCAGCAAGATACTGGTTCCTCCTTTAGTTTGTGCCAGGTTTGTATGATGGGGGTAAACTTCCATCTCCCATCCAAAAGCAGTCCAACCCATGTTTTGGAAACTACTAAACTAAAAATACTAAACTACTAAAGTAAAAATAGTTTCATGAAGTTTAACTTTGCTTTAGTATCACCTGTTCCTCAATTTAATGTATATTTTAATTGGACATTCAATTAATGTTGCATGTTAAGGGTCTGACTCTTAAGTGATCACTTAACAAATATCTCAGAAAATAGAATTTTTATCAAAAATGGTCAGAAGACCATACCCACACTTTCCTTTAGGTTCTAGGAGATACTGGAGTTTTCAAGGCTCATAGGTCATTATATTCTCAGGAAGATCCCCAAGTTCACAGCATATTGAGGGCAGGAAGCCTGGCCCCTGTCCTGGGAGCCCACCTAATTGCATTCCAGACTCCAGCTAAGTGGCTAGCCCCCCTGCAGACACTGATTTTGTGAGACATGAGAGGCCACTGGGACCATTTTTTGACTAATAAAAGGTGTATCTGTTGGTGGCTATACTTTCTCCAGTGAATACCAAGTCTTTTATGTGTAAGAACTGAGTGTTTGTAACTAGGCCTGAGGAGCTAGAGTCAGCCGGCTGTTCTCAGGTGTGCAAACACACAGGCTATATCTAGCGGGAGGTGGTTTCGCTGTTGTCCATGTGACTTAAAGTACTGTTTGAGGAAAACCCTAGTATATTCCTACAAGGCACTACAATAACAACAGCATAGGTAAGACAGGGAGATCTAACACTGTCTGTGGGCTAGATGAATAGAAAAAGTTGCATGTTGCAAAGGCTTAGAATGATTTTGTGTATGTGTTTGGCTCACGTGACCAGTATGAATAGTGTATCCCCAAATCCTTTAGTGCTTCACTAGCTCCCAAGCCCTAAAGAATTCTTATCTACTTTCACTTTAATATATTGCAGCACTTATCTTTGGCAGCAAACCAGAGATATGACCTAACTTCCTCAACCATATCCTGCTTTCCAAGTTCTATCCAATAGTTATTTAATGTTGTTTAGATTAATTTCCTTTGGAAAACTAAGGAGAAAGCAAATGAGGAAGAAAGAGAAGTGAGATATGGTTGCATGACTGAGGAACAGACACTTAGAATCTGAATGAAAGTATTTTGAGAGCAGTATTTAATCTGCTAACATAAGAATTTTTTTTAGAAGTTACAATTTAATCTGCTAGTAACAAATTTCTAAATGAAACTATGGCATAATCTTCCTAGCAGGCAAGTTTTGTTAATATGTTCTGTGGAGAAAAGTTTTGTGGAACTTAGCCAGTGGTCCTCTTCTCACCAGTGCTAGTGGTAAGTTTGAGAGCTCTTAATGCTGTAAGGGCCAGTGTCCCAATCCTTAACCACAGAAAAATGTCTGCTGCCTCCAGTGTGGAGAGGAGCCAAAAGTGGCCTGTGAACTGTAACCCTATTGGGCATTCCTTGGGACTCTTGAAATGGCATCGACATTGGCGTGCTCTGAGTCTTTGGTCAGAGATGGCATGGCATTCATGACTTCCACCCATCCGTTGGTACCTTTTAAACATGACAGAGAACACTGCCCTGGTCACTCAAGGTGATTGTCATCCCATGCAGCATGTAATGTGCCACTCGGAGTTTTCTCATTCCAATCTTCAGGCTTCATAACATTGGAATTGTTCTTCCATAATTTCCAACATTCCATAAATATTTGTCAAAGACAAAGAAAAGGAATGTGCATCTTTGTTCTTTTCATATGAATGACTTTGTACACATAACTTCCTGCTTTCATTATTGAGAAGAAACAAGCTCCCTTCTGTGGCAACTCCAAAGAGATTGTGCATGTCTAAGGGGTTGGATATATTTTGTAAAACTCTAAATATGTTTGTATTTCTGTGCTGTTCAGAAGTTTACCTTTTTACTTATACTAATTAAAGATATAGAGACTATATATTTAAATCATGTAAATGTAATACAGTTTAGGGGGTTTTTCCAATCTTATTTTTCATCAGCTTCTCACACACATGTAGTATGCTGCTCAAATTTTTTTGTGTGCAATATAAACATTTGAACATTTCAGTCAGGTACTGAGCCAGAAAAGGTCATTGAAGTTTTCAGAAAGCTTCTGTGCTTAGAAAATATTTTAGGTTTTTTTCTTAAAATATTAATATTTTATAGCTGGAAAATAAGATCGAGACATATGTTTTATTTGGTCATTGGTTCCTAAATTTAGGAAGCATTTGATCAATGAGTTAGTAAAGGCACTTAGTGGTTATAAAAATAGTTTAGATATTTGAGATGAAAGGCTTTCCACAAACAGTTTCTAAGAATGTTTAGCTTAGAAAAGTTTAAAAAGTTTTCTAAGAAAGTTTACCTGTGCTACATGTTTTGATCAGAAAGGTAGTTTCTCCTTGCTCTAGAAGATTTATAATTTGTACTTGTTCTTTGTTTCTGTTGCAACTTGTTTTTTTTTAAAGTATTAAAATTATAAATCAAGTCTAATCATATTGAATTGTAAAACTTCTATTGTATCTTTATTTTAAGAAAAAAATGAGAATAAAATTATCCTGTTTGTCTTGCATACAGTGGTACTTGACCTGTCCTCCTAGACACGCCCTGCCTGTGGCCCTCTTATTCCTGGTGTGCCTCCAGTAGGACGCAGTGCCAGCTTCATTTACTAACCAGCACACAGATGAACCAAAGGACTCATTGCTCATTTAATGCCTCATTCTGACATTGCTCACAGGAGGGAGCACTTCAGCTTTCAAGGTGGTGACCTCCCCATGCTTCTGCGGAACACTGACTGCTCAATACTGCACAAAGTACCAAAGAGGTCTTTAATATGATAATGATATGTCACATTACTGACAGCCCCAGAGGAGTGGGATGCTGTCCTGAAGCAGCCCACTTTTCCACCTGGACTGCTAAACTTCAAAATAGCCCTCAACATTTCCCTAAGAACTCTAGCACATTCTCATATATATGTCCATGTTCTGTGGAGCCCTTACAACTCTTCTACAAACTGGAGCTTTGTGATGTGCGTCATAGAAGCAGCAAAGGTCCTTGCGGCTGAGAATGTGTGCTTCTCTGAGTGATGGTACAGGGTTAAGTCGAAGCCACCAGTGTTCTTTGACATGGACCATGAGAGCCCTGGAGCTGATGGGAGGACTCGAGGGTGGTAGAGCTTGGCCCTACTGGCATCCTTCCCTATCTGATTACCTACTCAGACAGGGTCCCCATCACTACCCAGGAAAGAGCTACCTTTTGCAGTAACTGAATCTAGTAGCATTTGAATGATTTTGGAACCACTTCTTTCCAAGAAACACTTCACGAAGGACTTTATGGCTTGAGATAATCTTGCAGGGTCGGGGAAGCACACTGTGGTAGAAATGACCTGTCCAACTAAACCATCAGCAAATCCTCATCTGGTGCGTGCAAACACACTCTGCATGATCACAGAGTTGGATAGATCAAGTGGGGCAGCAGATCAGTGGATGTGTTCTTTGTTCTTGATCCTGTGAACACCCGCCTTTGGGTATCCTAACATGACACACAAATTAGAATTCCCTGAGCTTGGTGGTACATGCCTGTAATACCAGCAACTCAGGAGGCTGAGGCAGGAGGATCTCAAGTTTGAGGCCAACTTTGCCAACTTGAAACCCTGTATCAAAACAGGCTGGGGATATCTCAGTGGTAAAGAACCCCTGTGTTCAATTATCAGTACTGCCAAAAAAATTTAGCTCTCTAATATTTTTCAATGTATGTTTTATCCTTCAGTGAACTGGGCTGCACTCCTGGAACACATAAATGTGGACTGGAACCATAGAAAAATGACAAAAGCCACTTGATGAAATGTTGGCCATGGCTAAAATTGAGTGAGGGGCCCATTAGATTACTCTGCTTTTTAATGTGTTTGGGAATTTCCATAACGGAAAGTTAGAAACTGCTTGCTGGCCCCAAAGCAACTTTGCTGCTAAATGAAAAGGCCACCAGTTCCTGTGTGATGAACCCTGAGTGCCTAGTGTGGGACCCTGGACTTAATAGCTTCTTCAACACTGATACCCTGACTGCACGAGCCCCCTGGCCAACAGAAGCCTTGGCCATCACCACTGTGGTTGCTTTTCCACCCTTCTAGTTGTTGGTGAAGCATTATGGAGAGAACCCTTTACACGATAGTCAAAGACCAGCTCCAGCCTACCTCCTTCATTAGTCTTTCCAACTACTGTAAATCGTGGATTCGGCATTTATTGAGCACTAAATAAAATGCTTCCCTGTCTTAGAGATTTACAATCAGTAGGACAACTTAAGCATGAAACACACGTAGAAAAGCATAAAATATACATACAGTACAATAAATACAAAGTAGAAATTCATGCAAGCATAATTCAGTTAAGGAAGATATTACCAGCACCTAAAAAGCCCACCAGCTATCTAAATCATTCCTTCTTCCTCCAAATCATTCATTTAGCATTCTGACTTATATGGTAATGATTCCTATGTTTGTTCCAAAGAATACGGTCTGCTTTTGCCTGGTTCTAAACTTTACACGTGGAATCATACCATTTGCATCATTTTCTGTTGAATTTGGGGTTTTGAGATCATTCTCTTATTACTTTCTAATTCTGTTCCAATTTACAGCTCTGCCACCGGATGTCCAGTCAGCTGTAGGCAGACTTGAGCTGCTTGAGGTTGAGGCTGATGTGAAAGCAGAACTGCTCTGACCATGCTCATGTGTGCGTGTCCCTCTGTGCCTGTGCCCATTTCTCCAGGGTATAACTGTAGGAGGGGAATCATACCTCTGCAAAGATGCACATCTTCAACTTCAGTTAATGCCAACTTGATTTTTAAAAAGTGGTGCTACCACTTTTTTTCCACCCAGCAGGGTATGAGAATTCCCGTTGCTCCATATTGTTTCTATCACTTGATATCATCAGACTTGTACATTTTTGCCCTTCTGGTGGGTATTCCATTGTAGGTTTTAACTTACATTTCCATGAGTACTACTAAGGTTGGAAACTTTCATCCATTTAGATTTCCACTTTTGCAAAATGCCTCTTGAAGTCATCTATCCATTTTTCTATTAGATTTTCTATTTCTCATATGCATGAGTTTACACACCCACCCACCCACACACACACACACACACACACACACACACACATTGTTGTAGGTTTGCTGCTCTAACAAAATATCTAAGACTGGCTAATTGATAGAACAGAAACTTCTTCCTCAGTCTGGAAGCCAGGAGTCCACAATCAAGGCACTGGCAGGTTCAACTTCTGGAAAAAACTGGTTTCCTCTTACAAGATGACACCTTGTTTCTGCATCCTCTGGAAGGGAGGAACACTGTCCTACCATGGCACAAGGGACAAGAGAAATGAAAAAGGGACTAAACTCCCTGTCAAGCCCTTTCATAAGGGCACCTAATCCAGTCACCTAAAGGCCACACCTCTTTTTTAAATATTTATTCTTTAGTTATAACTGGACACAATATCTTTATGTTTTCATTTGTTTTTATGTGGTACTAAGGATCAAACCCAGGGCCTCACACGTGCTAGATGAGCACTGTACCACTGAGCTACAACCCCAGCCCCAACCACACCTCTTTTTTTTTTTTAATTTTTAATATTTATTTTTCAGTTTTCGGCGGACACAACATCTTTGTTTGCATGTGGTGCTGAGGATCGAACCCAGGCCGCATGCATGCCAGGCGAACGCACTACCGCTTGAGCCACATCTCCAGCCCCAACCACACCTCTTAATGCTATTACTTTGGGGACTGAGTTTCAGTAGCATTTTGGAGATGACAAACCAAAAAGATTAGCACACTCAAGTATGAAAGTGTGCATGTGTGAAATGTGTGTTTTCTGGATACTGTCTATCAATTTATGTGTGTTGCTAGAGACTCATTCTGTGACTTATCTTCAATAGTGACATCTTCTGGTGGTTAGGTTTCTTAATGTAGTCAAATTTATTTACTTAGGTTTAGGAAGTTTTTAATCTTATTCAAAAAACCCAGGCCAGGCACAGTGATGCACACCTGTAATCCCAGCAGCTTGGGAGGTTGAGGCAGGAGGATCACAAGTTCAAAGTCAGCCTCAGCAAAAGCAAGCACTAAGCAACTGTCTCTAAATAAAAAACAAAATAGGGCTGGGGATATGGCTCAGTGGTCAAGTGTCCCTGAGTTCAATCCCCAGGACCCCCCTTCTCCCCCCCCAAAAAAAAAAAACTTCTTTACCTCAAGGTTATGAGAATATTGGCTTGCCTCACATGCACAAAGCCCTGGGTTCAATTCCCAGGACCACAAAAAAAAAAAAAAAAAAGCTTATAATAGTAGTAATTAAATATTCTAGAATGGGGTAGTGGCTCAGGAGTAGAGCATTTGCCTAGCATGTAAGGCA